AAAGAGGGACTGTGGCTCAGTGGGAGAGCCTCTGCTTGGCGTGCAGAAGGTCCCAGGTTCAGTCCCCGGCATCTCCAGTTAAAAAGAACCAGGCAGCAGGTAATGTGAAAGACCTCTGCCTGAGATCCTGGAGAGCTGTAAAGAGGGGCTGTGGCTCAGTGGAAGAGCATCTGCTTGGCGTGCAGAAGGTCCCAGGTTCAGTCCCCAGAGGCATCTCCAATTAAAAAGGACCAGGCAATAGGTGATGTGGAAGACCTCCGCCTGAGACCCTGGAGAGCTGTAAAGAGGGGCTGTGGCTCAGTGGGAGAGCCTCTGCTTGGCATGCAGGAGGTCCCAGGTTCAATCCCCGGCAGCCTCTCCAGTTAAAAAGGGCCAGGCAGGAGGTGATGTGAGAGACCCCTCTGCCTGAGAACCTGGAGTGCTGTTGCCACTCTGAGTAGACAAGACTGACCTGGAGGGGCAGGTTTGTGTATCATGTATAAGGCGCTCAGTTCGGCAGTGGATTGGCTGTGCCTCTGAGGCTGCTGGCCAACCACACTCAAGCAGCGGTCCATAGGAAGAAAAGCCCCGCACTCCACAGTTGCCAGAGCCACTGCTAATAACCGCAGCGTTGAAAGTGAGAGTTCAGCGGCAGCTCCCTCCTCCCTCCCACCCCGTAGCCCCGGCATTGCCCCTTACCGGATTGTGAGTTCCAATATCTGGGCCAGCTGGTCATGAAGAAGGGTGGCCTGCAAGGAGAGAGTACACGGCTGAAAAGGCTGAATCGCGCTCCAGCCTTCCTTCCCTGCGTCCACGCTGCAAGAACTGCGGGGCCAAATCGTTTCTGGCTCTTCCCGGGGGAGAAACGAGGCCTTTGAAGCCCTCTATGGCCAGGGGCCAGCTTGCCCATGAGACTGCCTCTCCCCATAGGAGCCCCGGAGGGTCCTGAGCAATGTTCCCTCTAAGCTGTGGAGTCTTGTGTGCAAAATTTCTGCTTTGTGAAGACTGGCATTAAAGTTGTGAGCAAGCGATTTGGCTACGGCATAAATTAGTTTGCTCCAGAGCCCTCCTTCCTGAGCTAAAACAAAAATGTGTGAGCTGGAGGCTAAAGAATGGTGAGCTAGCTCACACTAACTCAGTTTAGATGGAACACTGGTCCTGAGGTCCACAAATCAACATCTGTTCGTGGTTCCCGGCCCCAGGGACGTCCGGCTAGCCTCGACCAGAGCCTTTTCAGACCTGGCCCCTGCCTGGTGGAAAGAGCTCCCGTGTGAGATCAGGGCCCTGCGGGACTTACTGCAGTTCCACAGGGCCTGCAAGACGGAGCTCTTCCGCCAGGCGTTTGGTTGAACCAACAAAACTGAGGGGTTACAGCTAGTATAGAGAACTAAAAATATAGAAGCTGTAATGATGTACAAAACGCTTATAATCTCACAATAATGATAGAAAAATAAACAGTCCAACTGAAAAAATATTAATTCCCAACAGGTATCAGAAAGATGGACGAACTTCTCCGGAGTTTTGGCATTCGTTTCGTGAAGAACTTCTTCCAGACATTAAGATGTGATAGTGTTGCTTCTTATTCCATGATGTGTAAATCCAATACAAAGGTACTAATATCCTATATGTTGAACATGTTCTTACATAACAAATCCTTCCACCAACGGGCTCACGTGTTCAACATATAGGATATTAGTACCTTTGTTATATATATAGGATATTAGTGCCGCAGGCGACACGGCTCCCAGAGGACTGTGGCCAAGACTCTCACCACACCCAATGCTCCCTCTAAGCTGTGGAGTCCTGTGAGCAAAGATTCTCCTTTGTGAGCTACTGGCATTAAAGTTGTGAGCAAGAGATTTGGCTGCTTCATAAATTAGTTTGCTCTGGAGCCCCATCCTCCCTGAGTGAAGGCAAAAACGTGCGAGCCAGAGGCTAAAAAACTGTGAGCTAAACTCGCACTGACTCAGCTTAGAGGGAACACCGCTGACCACACTCGTCCCACGATCTCCAAACCGTGCTGCAGAAGAAGGCCGTGCAACAGCCTGTGGGGAGTCTCTGGGGCTCCAGCCAAGCACGCTGACCCCGCCCACCCTCAAAGCCCGCCAGCTCTAACCGCACCCCCTGTGCCCCCTTCAAACAGACCCGCCCGTGTGCCTCGAAGGCCCTCACCTTGCTCTCACACTGGGCCGCAATTTCCTCAAAGGGGGCCTTCTGGAACTTTTCAATCACCAGGCGCCTCTTCTCCTTCTCTTGCTCTTCGAGGCCGGTGTTGTCTTAGGCAAGCGAAAAGGGAGGAGGGGTTTAAGATTTCCATCTCAGACTCTCCAGGGCAGGGTCACAGCCCACCAAAGAGGGTGGGGCGGGGTGGGGTGCTGAGGAACGCACCACTTCAATCATTTCCAGGAAGAAATCCTCCTCTGTGCTCAAGCAGTCTTAGTGTTGTCTTAGGCAAGCAAAAAGGGAGGAGGGGTTTAAGATTTCCGTCTCAGACTCTCCAGGGCAGGGTCACCCAAAGAGGGTGGGGCGGGGTGGGGTGCTGAGGAACACACCACTTCAATCATTTCCAGAAGAAATCCTGCTCTGTGCTCAGGCAGTCTTTGGAAGGCTACCCTGCACCTTTGACACGCTTAAATACATTATGAAGAAGAGAACAGGAGGTTGGATTTATCCCCCGCCCTTCACTACCCAAAGGAGTCTCAGAGCAGCTTACAAACTCCTTTCCCTTCCCCTCCCCACAACAGACACCCTGGGAGATAGGTGGGGGTGGGAGAGCTCTGGCAGAAACGGCTCTTTTTCAAGAACAGCTCTGAGAGAACTGTGGCTTGCCCAGGGTCATCCAGCAGCGGCAAGTGGAGGAGGAGTGGGGAATCAAGCCCGGTTCTCCCAGATTAGAGTCTGCGCACTTAACCACCACACCAAACTGGCAGCCCTAGGAGAGGGCTATGCAGGCCATGGGAGAGGGCTATGTAGGGTTGAACTTTCTACGCACGTGCACGGAATATGAATGCTTTATTTTGGTACAAGAACAGAGGAGTTTTTAAAAACAGATTTCATTCCAAGCACAATGGAACGGATGGAACTGGTTAGAATCTAGATTCCAGCACTGTAGAGACAGAGAAGGTTTTTTGGGAGTAAGAGATTTCGTGGGTCAAAGTTCCCTTCGTCAGATATGAGTCCGAATGGAGATCTCAGAGTCCTTACATCCCAGTCTGAAGGTGGGACGGTTAGAATCTGAGACGCCAGTCTCTCAAGGGTGCATTCACACCCTCCCCCAAGCATATCAGGTATGTGATCATTTTTTTCCCCACTTCAAGATTTCCTAAAATGGCAAGAGATGGGGATCTTTGTCAGCAGGGAACACATTCAAGACATTACAAGTATGTGGCTCGTGCAGTTACAGAACTCTGCCTGACAAAAGGATTGAGATGGGTGGCCGTGTTAGTCTGTCTGTAGCAGTAGAAAAGAGCAAGAGTCCGAGAGCACCTGGAAGACTAACACAATCGGTGGCAGGGGAGGAGCTTTCATGAGTCACGGGCTCACTTCTTCGGATACGGCTAGAATGTGAGTCTATCTGTCCAATAATTTGGAAAGCGGAGCAATTTCAGATGCCAAATGACATTAGCAGGCAAATGACACTAGCAGGTGTGACTGGATTATGTGTGATATGTAAAGCAGTCTCTCTTTCTAATTGCAGCTGCTAATGAAGCTCAAGACAATGCATCCACCTGGACTCAATCAAGACCTCAGTTTCCTGTCTCATTGCCAATGCTGATTTCTCCATGCCTACTACCCCTCTGCACATCACACCTATTCTAATCATGCCTGCTACTGTCATTCACCTGCTGTTTGTATTTGCCTGCTGATGTCATTCGGCATCTGAAATCACTCCACTTTCCAATAAATAGGACAGATGAACTCCCGCTCTAGCTGTATCTGAAGAAGTGAGCCAGTGACTCACAAAAGCTCCTCCCCTGCCACCAATGTTGTTAGTCTTTCAGGCGCTCCTGGACTCCCGCTCTTTTCTACTGACAAGAGGATTGTTAACTCTCTGCTCCGTGGAAAGTGCTGGAAGCCGTCGGAGGAAATGTGCCGAACGAAAAATCGCCATGAACCTCACCTATCGCCTTCTTCAGGGCTTCAAAGGTAATTTCCTCCGTGTTGTTGACCTGAAAAGAAAAAGAAGACTTTTAATGTATTTAAGCAGCTGAACTGGAGATCAAAAAGGACCACTAATCACGGTAGACGAGCAAGCGTCCAAGAGCCCCTGAAAGAAAAATATGTGGCAGGGGAGGAGCTTTTGTGAGCCGCTGCTCACGTCTTCAGATGCCGGTGAGCCAGGGACTTGCGAAAGCTCACCCCCTGCCACAAATTTTGTTAGCCTTTAAGGTGCTCCTGGACTCTCGCCTACCCATCCTGACCTCCCTCCCTGATTACAGCGATTTCTTATCTATCCAGCTCCACTGACACGCTGGGCTTCACAGAGGAAAGAGGAGAGGACAGACTGTCAAAAGAAGGGGCAGGGATGCACGTGCCTGTCTGTCCCCACAACTAGCTGCACCACTGCCTTTAGTTTTTATGAAGCCATCCTCGCAGCCTCCTCTTCCTCCGTAAGTGGCCAACGGCACCTCCAGGCCTCCGCGTCTCTTCCTCGCAGGAGGCTGTTGGACTGCCCTGCTCCCCTTGGCTACAGTGAACATGCACGGCAGCGGGGCCCAGGCTGTGCGCAGCCACCACAAGCAGCGGGCGTGGGATGGCAGTGGCTCCAAGGTGGTCGGGCACGGCACAACTGCACTGCTACAAGGTGCTGTGTGTGAGGAAGTGGGCTAGATCCCAATCCAGGAGCACCCTGGAGACCAACAAGAGTCCGGTGGTACCTCAAAGACTAAAAAGGTTTGTGGCAGGGCAGGAGCTTTGGTGACAACTGAAGAAGTAAAAATCTCCCTTCGTCAGATACAAAGCTTTGACTCTCGGAAGCGTCAACCTCAAAAAACTCGTTGGTCTCTAAGATATCAGTAAAGGTCAAGATTTCCCTTGCTCAAAAGCCAGTCGAATCCAACTCTAGGGATGTGGTGCCCTTCTCCGTTTCCAAACCGAAGAGCCAGTGCTGTCCGAAGACGTTTCCGTGGTCATGTGGCCGGCATGACTAGACGCTGAGGTGCACGGAGCGCTGTTACCTTCCCACCGAAGCGGTACCTACTTATCTACTTGCAATTTCTTGCTTTCGAACTGCTAGGTTGGCAGGAGCTGGGACCAGAGATGGGAGCTCACTCCGTCACGCGGCACTCGGGTCTTGAACTGCTGACCTTCCAGTCTGCAGTTCAGCGTCTTAACAACTTGAGCCACCGCAGCCCCCCTCTAAGATGTTACTGGACCCCCTCTAGGATGTTAATGGACTGAAGCCATCTTCATTGGCTGCAAAAATCCTACAGACCAGCTCTGTGAAGCTTTTCAGCACTAACCCCGCAGGAGGGGCTTCTGACAGAACGTGTCCCCTGGGAACCCCTTGCTAGGATCTAGCTCCTTCCAGCCTTGGGCGCAGGAGTCCCCAGCCTCACTATGCCTGCAGGCCCTTGTGCATTTCGAGAAAGGGCCGGAGGCACTACCGCAGGATGACTGCTATCGAGCAGGGCCAGTCACAAAACCACTGCCGGGGGGCGGGGCCAAGCACAAACCCCAGAGTTCCAAGCGGCAAGGCAGCTGCTTTCAAAAGAACACTCTGAAGAAAGGTTAAAACGCTCGGGACCCTTTAGCTTGGAGAAACCGACGGCTGAGGGGTGACATGATCGAGGTTTACAAGATTATGCATAGGATAGAGCAGGTGGAGAAAGAGGTACTTTTCTCCCTTTCTCACAATACAAGAACTCGTGGGCACTCCATGAAATTGCTGAGCGGTCGGGTTAGAAGGGATAAAAGGAAGTCCTTCTTCACCCAAAGAGTGATTAACACATGGAATCCACTGTCACAGGAAGTGGTGGCGGCTACAAGCATGGACGGCTTCAAAAGGGAATTAGATAAGCATACGGAGCAGAGGTCCACCAGTGGCTATTAGCCACAAGGCATAGATAGAAACTCTCAGTCTGGGGCAAGGGATGCTCTGTATTCTTGGTGCTTGGGGGGGGGGCAACAGTGGGAGGGCTCCTAGTGTCCTGGCCCCGTTGCTGGACCTCCTGATGGCACCTGTTGGACTGGATGGGCCACTGGCCTGATCCAACATTGGCTTCTCTTATGTTCTTATGTTAGAGAAGGGCAGGGAGCTGTTCCTGTTGGCAGCAGAGGACAGAATATTTGCAAGAATGGGTTTAAATTGAGGGTGGGAAGGAGCCGGCTGGATCTTAGGAGAAACTTTTGGACAGGAAGAGTTGTTCAGCAGTGGAATGAGCTGTCTGGGGAGGTGGTGAGCTCCCCCTGGCTGGCAGCCTTTAAGCAGCGGCTAGACAAACCCTTGTCAGGGATGCTCTAGGCTGGTCCTGCATTGAAGCAGGGGGTTGGACTAGACGGCCTGTATGGGTCCCTTCCAACTCCGTGATTCTATGAAAACCCAGACACTAACCAAAGGACGTCAGACATTAGGCAAAGTTCTTACCAGTCCCTGCCTCCTGACACTGTACCCCACAAATGGTTGCAGAGTCAAAGAACCTAAACGCATGAAAGGTGCCGGTCGCAAGGCGTTGGCACCGCTGCTCCGAAGTCAACCCCTGAAGCCCTATGCAGCCCAAAACCAGGCAGCCCGTTCTTCGTGATGAGGGGCCCAAAATGGAGACAGGGACGGCCAGGATCCTTTCCCGTGAGTGGACATGATGCACTTGCCTTATCCTCCGTTCCGTTGCCGGCCAGAATGTCCACCTGGATGGAGACCGTGTCCACCACACTCTTCCTCCGCGACAGCCTGTCTTCATCTGTGGACATGCACACAAGAGACAGTTGTCAGGTCCCCAGTCAAATCACTCTCTCCACGCACACTTTGGCAGGGAAGGCTTTATTCAGAGACAAGAGATGCTGTGGGTTCTTCACACTCTTTGCTAGGACTGAATTGCAAAGGCGGGAAAGGCAAGATACAGGTACAACCCCAGAATCCCATGCGCATCCACGTCAGCGTTACTACAGTGACTCTGATACAGCCACTATCTAGCCAGGCACAGTCTTTCCCCAAGGACATTTCTCGTGTGAAAGATGTCTTGGGGCCCCTTAGGAAAATTACCAAGCAAGCCTCCCTAATTCACTACACACACTCTCCCCCGCTCGCCCCCCGCCCCCCCGAAATGCAATGGTAGGGGAGGGCAATGATAAGGGATACAGAGAAAAAGCGGAATACATCAGGTTTCAGCCAGTCGACCCGCCCCAATACCAGATGCTGGATACCCGAGTCTGAGGGCAGTTCTCTCATTTTGTGGAGCCAGAACGGAGAGGGGGAGAGGTCGGTGACCCTCCCACTGTGCAATCCACATTTGGCACTTTGAATAAATCAAGCAAACCAAGTGCAGGTGTCCATAGGTAGGGGCTCTGGGGCAAGTGATGCTCTGTCTTCTTGGTGCTTGGGGGGGGGTCAACAGTGGGAGGGCTTCTAATGTCCACACTGGCCCCCCTGGTGGACCTCCTGATGGCACCTGGTATTTCTGGCCACTGTGTGACACAGAGAGTTGGACTAGATGGGCCTTTGGCCTGATCCAACACTGGCATCTCTTACGTTCTTATGTCTGGGGCCAGTGATGCTCTGTATTCTTGGTGCTTGGGGGGGGGAGCAACAGTGGGAGGGCTTCTGATGTCCTGGCCCCACTGCTGGACCTCCTGAGGACACCTGGTCTTTTTGGCCACTGTATGACAGAGAGTGGTTGGACTGGATGGGCCATTGGCCTGATCCAACATGGGCTTCTCTTATGTTCTTATATTCTGTTCTTATCTCCCCTGCAGTGACAATGCTACTTCCAAGGGTCAAGTCTGCAAGGAACTGGGAACATGAGAGACAAGGTCACAGAGCAGTGGAGTTGCTGGGTTAAGTTAGGGCACTGAGACTTTTAAGGTGGGAAAGGCCATTCTGGGGATGCAAAGAGGCGCTGCTTCCGCCTCCCTGGCATTCTGCTACGCAGGGAGGCATATGGCCGGTGAGCCCTCGGCCTCCATGTTGTCCTCCACCTCGCCCTCCAGTTCCTGCTACCTCTACGGAGGACTGGCCTTTAGCTCACAGCTCAGCAGATGGTCGGTGAAATTGACTCTATAGAACACATTTTTTTTAAACTGTCCTAACTATACAAAGGTCCGGTCGGAAAGTATTAGCTCACTGCTAGCAAGATTTCCTGGGAGATCAAATAAAATCAAGCTTGATTATCTCCTGTCAGATAGAAACCAACGCTGCCTCTAAGCTGTGGAAGTCTTGTGAGCAAAAATTCTACTTTGTGAGCTCCTGGCATTAAAGTTGTGAGCCGGCGATTTGGCTACTGCATAAATTAGTTTGCTCTGGAGCCCTCCTTCCCTGAGCTAAGACAAAGATGTGTGAGCTGGAGGCTAAAAGACTGTGAGCTAGCTCACACTAATGCAGCTTAGCAGGAACACTGCACCAGACTACTCGACAGGTGGCTAAATTCTGTGCTCAGGTTTACAAGCATTGAAAATCCCTTTTTGGCAGCATGACTCTGTAGTTACTTGGCATGATTCTGTATGTTTTTTTTAAGACTTCAATTTATCTCTTTTTATCTTTTTAAAAAAAAATTCAACCCATCTGTCTACAACTATTACTATCTGTCCTAGCCCTTATTACCAACTCGCCGTGAGTACAAAAATGGTGGTACTGCGTGGAGCTGTGGCCACTAAGGATACCATCCTGATGACGTCATCGGCTCCCTTGTTAGTTGTTGTGGAGAGCCCTTATGCTGCACTGAATGTTTTTAAAATGCAGTTTTAATGTTTTATGTATTGGGCATTGGCCCCATCTGTACGCCGCCCTGAGCCCGTTCGTTGGGAGGGCGGGTTATAAATTTAAATAAATAAAATAAACGGTATTGCTGGTCGCTGGCTTTTGCGTTTCTCAATCAAACTGGACTGCTGGTCGCTGCTGACTGTTGTAATAAAGTGACTGACTGACTGATTGCGCAGCAGATGGCCTGAGTGACATTGTGGGAATGTGCGACCATCTGGTTCAGTTTCAGAAGGGGAGAAAAGGGAAGCCCGAAGGAACAGCGTGTGGAGAACAGAGAAGGGGGGCGGCTGTTTGGCGAGGGAAGAGGGAAGGCGAGACAGGACGCATCCCAGGGATAGAAGTCTGGAGACTGGAATCCCGCGGTCTGACTCTGTCTGACGCTCCAGGGCCGGAGGCGGATGACTGAGCAGCCACGAGACGCCAGGATTCATCGGCAGGTGGCTGCGAGGGATCAGGACTGGACAATGACTCACCTGTCACCTGAGGGACGTATGGCACAGACAGCCTCTCCGCGCTGTAGCCGCTGCCGCCCAGCGACTCCGCGATCTTGTTCATCAGGAAGAACAGGCTCTTGTCGTCCCTGTCGAAGGTTTTGGGAAGGCTGCGAAGAGTGCAGCGTGAAGGGATTAGGCACCACGTGGGAGCGAGAGGAAGAGACACACACACGGCCTTCCATCTCCAGCAATCCTTTCTGCAGTCGGCGTTCACCCCAACCTCCATCCCAGGCTCTTCGAGGCTGCCCTCTCCCCACTCCTCCTCCACATGCAGCTGCTGGTGTGACCTTGGGTCAGTCACAAGTTGGGTCAGTCACTTGTCTCAGTTCCGCAGGGCCTGCAAGACGGAGCTCTTCCGCCAGGCCTTTGGATAGGAGCTGCCGCCACCACTATTCCATCTGTACCCCCTATGCCCTAGCGAATTAACATCAGATTGCCTGGCCCCCAAAGGTGGAGCGTGGCGCTGGACATGGCTCTGAGGATAAGATCATCGGTAGCTATGTGAGGTTAAGATCTTCCCTTCTTGCTTGAAATTTGCTGTAAATTGTTTATATTTTATTGTAATTTATTGTTTTTAAACTATATGTTATTGTTTTAACCTGGCACTTTGTGCCCCTGTTAGCCGCCCTGAGCCTTCGGGGTAGGGCGGGATATAAATGTAAATATAAATAAATAAATAAAAATAAATAAGTTCTCTCAGAGCTCTTCTCTCAGGAGCAGTCCTCGAAAGAGCTCTCTCAGCCCCACCTGCCTCACAGGGTGTCTGTTGTGGGGAGGGGAAGGGAGAGGAGATTGTGAGCTGCTCTGAGACTCCTTCGGGGAGTGAAGGGCGGGGTATAAATCCAATCTCCTCTTCTTCTACAATCTGGTGTACCTTCTCCTAACCCATCACGGAAAATGTGACCCATTAGTCAAAAGATGCTGGGAGGAGAGTAGGGGGACTGTGCTCCAGGCCCCCTCCATCACTCGTGTGTCACTCACATGACCAAGACCATGAATTCCAAGCTCTCTGTCTTTGTGGGGTGCCCGGGGGGACTACTGGAACAACTTGCCCCATGGTCCTACCCTTCAGAAATCACTTCCTTTGAAACTAGCCAGGGAGAGGAAATGCTTTGAAGATGGCCAGAATGCCTGGAGCACCACGGGAAGACTTTCTGCATGGCTTTGGGTATTGAATTCCTATCTTTCTCCATGTACCATACCTTTGTGAAAGAGATACCTTTGTGCTGCAATGTACAGATTTTATCAGCAACAGAATCGTCATTACCTGCACTTGTCTCGGAATATGGTCTCTGGCAAGAAGCACGGACTTTCCACCGTTCTGGTTTCGATGACCTGAAAAGAATCCGTTAATTGGACAGAATGAAATCGGACTCCCAGAGTTAGATTTGTCCCTGCCTGCAGGTAGATCACGAACAGCATGCTTTGCAGAACGGAAGTGGAGCACCTGGCTAAGTATCCACATCATCGGGTCTAGAGAACAGCCACGAAGCGCCTTGTTACACTGCACTGCTGTTAACTGTGCTCACTTTTCTCTTTCCCTTCCTCCAAATGACTCAGGGCAGCCAACCTGCCTCCATTTTGTCCACCCAACAAGCCTACGAGGTAGAGGCAGTTGGGCTGTGACAGAGTGTGACCGTCTCAGCATCTCCGAAGGAGCTTTAAGGCAGTGTGAAGGTTTAAGCCGCGTCTGACCCTCTGTCCCCTACGCCAGGCTGATTCATGCTTCGGTGGCTGGAGTTTTAAGTGCCCAAAGACCCCAGGACACCCTTGAAGGGGAGACGGCTGAAGTACAGTAAAGCGGTACTTGTACAACCCAACAGCTTTACAAAAGGCTGCGGGCAAGTGATAACGGGATGTCATAATAACTCAGCTCTTCACACTGAAAACTAACAGCTGCCAAAAACAATGGAGAGGTGATACAATAAATAATCAATCAATCAATCTTCAAGTACTTGAAGGGCTGTCCTATAGAGGATGGTGCAGAGTTGTTTTCTGTTGCCCCAGAAGGTCGGACCAGAACCAACGGATTGAAATTAAATCAGAAGAGTTTTCGGCTAAACATCAGGAAGAATTTCCTGACAGTTAGAGCTCGGTGGAACAGGCTTCCTTGGGAGGTGGTGGTGGGCTCTCCTTCTTTGGAGGTTTTCAAACAGAGGCTAAGTGGCCATCTGACAGCAATGCTGATGCTGTGAACTTAGGCAGATCATGAGAGGGTTTGTCATCTTTTGGGCATGGAACAGGGGTCACTGGGGGTGGGTGGGGGGTGGTATTTGTGAATTTCCTGCCATGTGCAGGGGGTTGGACTAGATGACCCTGGAGGTACCTTCCAGCTCTCTATGATTCTGTGAACTACAACTCAGGGTTTAAAAAAAAAAAAAGCCTGGAGAGGTGGAGACGGCGCAGGCAGCACTGAAATGGGAACTACTTCCAAATGAGAACGTCATTGTCCAAAGCGCGAGGCTCCACGATGGCACCCCCGTGTCGCTAAACAATGAAGGTGCCAGAAGGAACATCCCGGCCAGAGGAGAAGACCATTTCAAACTCTTCTCCACGCCAGGGGCCAGAGCGAGGGATGTCCAGGTGGTGGTCCCTAAAGCAACTATCTGTCAAGGTCCCTGCTGATAAGCAGAATTGTAAGACAACGGCATGCTGACCCAACGGAACACTTTCCCAATGAGGAAAGGTTAAAGCGCTTAGGGCTCTTTAGCTTGGAGAAAAGACGACTGAGGGGTGACATGATCGAGGTTTATAAGATTATGTATGGGAAAGAGCAGGTAAAGAAAGAGGTACTTTTCTCCCTTTCTCACAATACAAGAACTCGTGGGCACTCCATGAAACTGCAGAGCGGTCGGGTTAGAACGGATAAAAGGAAGTACTTCTTCACCCAAAGAGGGATTAACACATGGAATTCACTGCCACAGGAAGTGGTGGGTGCTACAAGCATGGACGGCTTCAAAAGGGAATTAGATAAGCATCTGGAGCAGAGGTCCATCAGTGGCTATTAGCCACAAGGTATAGCTAGGGGCTCTGGGGCAAGTGATGCTCTGTCTTCTTGGTGCTTGGGGGGGGGGGTCAACAGTGGGAGGGCTTCTAATGTCCTGGCCCCACTGCTGGACCTCCTGATGGCACTGGTATTTCTGGCCACTGTGTGACACAGAGTGTTGGACTGGATGGGCCTTTGGCCTGATCCAACATTGGCGTCTCTTATGTTCTTATGACCCGGATGGGCCAGGCTAGCCCGATTTTGCCCGACCTTGGAGGCTAAGCAGAGTCAGGCCTGGCTAGGACTTGGGTGGGAGACCACCGAGGAAGTCCAGGGTTGCTACGCAGAGGCAGGAAATGGCAAACCACCTCTGATCCGTCTCTTGCCTTGAAAACCCCATGGGGGGTCACACCAGGAGTTCCCTGCGACTTTTCCACCACCACCAAGACAACTGCATTCAGCAGCTGAAACGGAGGAAGTTCTTCCCTGCCTGAATGTCACATCTCTCTGTGGATTCTGCATGCGGCGCCTGACGGTGCAGACCTGCGTGCTCAATCCGAGGAACCCTTATGTTACCTCCCCAGAGGCACCAGGGCTAAACACCCCCTCTCTGGAAAAGTCGGAGGGACCCGGCAGCCAGAGAGGCAAGTAAGGCCAGGGTTCCACACCTCGTATTGGTCTGGCAAGGGCAGGCAACAGGGAGCCAGAACACGACTCCATTTTGAACCTGCCACGCTAGATCAGGAGGAACCGAGTCTCGTAGAAAGAGCACGTACACAGGGCCTCATGATCAGCCAATGATTAACAAAGACCTTCATCAATGTACTGATCCTTAAATCCCATCTCCTCTGACCTGGGCACTAATCTGGGTAAACCGAACTATCTCCATTTCCAGAAGTCTAGCACCCTTCCCCCAACCAACATCGAGCCAATGGCATGTAGAAAGACAAACACTGGTGAAACTGAGCATCCTGCACATACTCAATTTTAATCCGGCTATTCACTGCACCCTGGGCCAGCCCACCCTTCGCTCCCCAAACCACATTTAAAATGGCATGTTAAGCCTCAATTTCTGTACATCTCTTGGGGCGCCCATAAGAGTGTACCCTCAGACCCTGCCTGAGCTTTTGACATGAACCACTAGTCGGCCATGTCCTCCTCCTTCCACGTGGATTCCAGAATTCAGGATCAGGTGAATATTACCCTAATCTAAAACCAACCCCCTTCTTATCCACTCTATTTCCTAGCTCTGTGTGTGTTGATCTGTTGTTGTTATTTTTGCTTGAGTGAGTAGCGTGAGCTTTGCATTTGTTTACAATAAATACTCCATGTATTCAATCAAAAGGTCTCTTCCTTCCACTGGTTTCCCTCGCAATTTGACCCTCGTATACAAACCCTTGTACACGTGTACTGCCCCAGGCAATCCATGTAACACTTATTGCCAGATGGTGGCAACTCCTTGACAGAGCTTCGTTAACTGCAAAACAACTGAACTGCCTCCCAGTCTCCGGAGAACAGAACCACCCCCAGGAGAAAGTGGAGAGCACGAAAGGCGCGACAACTGACTGCGACCCACCTTGCTGACGTGCTGGCAGAAGGCGGGCACGGCGATCATCTGGCTCAGGAAGTTGAGGTAGGCGGCGACCAGCGCCATGACACTGCAGCGGCTGAACATGGACAAGTTGTCCTCATTGAGAATGGCCAGATCCTGCACGGGTGGCAAGGAGGAAGATACCAAACGAGTGAGCTGTGTGATACGGCCCGAACGTGCAGCGCACGCCTTCTAGGACTGGCTTCGGAGAAACACGCATGCAGGTCTCCCGCCCAAAAGCAATCCAGCCCCCCCCACACACACACACCTGCAAGGCGACAGCCAGGCGGATCAGATCGGTCACCACCTCCTCGTTGGCCAGCTCGATGGTGATCAGCGCCAGGGTCGTGTAGAGCAGCTCAAAGTTCTTGTGCACGTTGTCGTCTTCCTTGCAGCCCAAGTAGATGTGCCTGTACAGCTGCTGGCCGTGCTGCGGGGGAGGAAGAAGAAGAAGAGACGGGATTTAT